CAGCTACTATACCAACAAAATCAGCAAGGAAAAGCTTGACGAATTCAATGATGTAGTTCAAAATTTACCTGAAGGAATCACCTTTGCCAGAGCTTGCAAAGACTTCATAATAGGCCATTACTTCTGTGAGAGCAAGGAACCAATCCCTGAAATAGAAGACTTGTTCAATCATGCCAGAAGAGGTAAACCTGTTCGAACACCTCACAAAATCGAAGGTGCATGTCAGTTTCTCATCTCTTGTTCTATTAGAGGTGAAATGCTTAAAAATGTGCTTTGTGATTTTGGAGCTTGTCTTAACATGATGTCCAACGCAGTTGCTTTGAGACTTGGTATTAAGCACCTGCGCAGGACTAGAGCAAAGATTAGTCTAGCTGATGATTCCAATGCAACGCCTCAAGGAATAGCTCATGACATTCCTTTGAGAATAGGAGATTGCATCGTGCCTGTCGACTTCTACATTGTCGAAACGAGAGACGCAACACATCCAGTGATTCTCGGATGGTCTTTTCTACCAACTTCCGGAGCTATAATGAACTGGCCAAACCGGAGGATTTCATTTGCTAATATCGACAAAGATGTCTTCGCAGAAGCTGTCCCATACAACAGCAAAACATGAAAACGTTCTGCAACAGAAGAGTTTGAAGAAGAGCTTTGGAGTGACGAAGAACCTGCTAGGCAAAGCAAGGAGATGTCGAAAAAGTCTTGTCTCAGGACAAGATCTTCTTCATTGGACTAAGCCACGTCCAACACCAAAAGTCGAGCTAAACGACTTAAAACAAAAGCGCTTAATGGGAGGCAATCCATTTAGGTATTGTTTTCTTTAGGATTTTTCTTTCTTTTTCCATTGATCTTTTTTTTTTTGCTTAGTTTCAGGTGGTTCTTATAAAACAAAAAAGCCAAAAAAATTAAAAAAAACAGAAAAGACCAAAAAGAAGGATGATCCCTGACTGCTCGGCCCAGCAGGAACCAAGGAGAAGCAGGAAACATGCCGCGATATAAGCCCCCGCGGTCGCAGGCGTTCTGACCATGGGAAACAGCTCCTCGACTGCGGCCGCGTCTTTCTGACCGCGGCCGAGCACCGGTTTACCGCGGTCGCGTGACCTCTGACCGCGGCAGATGGTCGTTGAGACGAAACCCGACCCCAAAACACCCACTTCACCTTATTCCACCTCACCAGTCCCCATTCCACCTCATTCATCACTTCCCACCACCTTCATCACCACCTATCACCTTCATCACCACCTATCACCAAACCTCTTCGAATGAATCCGGTCCATCACCACCAGTATCCCGGATCCAGGTAAGTTCTCTTTGGCCTTACCAATTCGATTATCTATGCATTTTTCTCATCCAATCTCGACTTGTTTCACACTGAGGACAGTGTGATTTAAGTCTGGGAGAGGATTTCATCCCTTTCTAACCACTTTTATTTCATGAGTCTTGCATTATCTACACTTTTTGCATTTTCCTTAAAGTTTTTCAAAATTGGTTTTCAAAACAAAATACGTTTTCAAGGGAATGGTGAACATGAATCAATGATAGTTGACTGTGTGCTCTTAGACTGTTCCTAGTGACATGCTCATTCATGATTTAGGACTAGACTAGGCGGTAGCTAAACACATTTGAAACGATGTACCCCAGAGGAATTTGAATGATTTCGATTTAGATGAAGGAATACACTATCTCTGTTTTATTTGGACTTAATTTGGACTTAATTTTGCTCATTGAAGCATTAGACCATGCAGGGAAACGATTCATACATTCAGGACTCCTTTACTCTTTTTACCACTCTCTGTTGATCCTGAATGGCTAGTTCATCTTTAGCTACTTCCCCACCTTAACCAATCCTCTTTCAAACCACACGCACTCTTGTTTTCATCGTCTTATATGCAGATATGTGTAAAAACGTTGGAGAGAAAGAGGAACGACGTAGTTTTCAGTCACCAAAGACAGAGACCTGCGATTTGCCGGAAAAGTTCCCGGAAGGATTCAACACAAGAGAAAGCTCAGTTTGCCTTAGAAAAATCTCAAATTTTGGTACAATCTCGTCCTCTAGTCTCTCTCTCTTTAAAAGGCATTTCCTTCCCAAACAAAAAAAAAATAAAAAAATAATAAAAAAACAATCCGAAAATAAGAAAGGAAAGGAAATAAAAGCCTTAGAGAGTGTAGAGAGGTCGAATTTTAAGTCCCAAGGTCGAATTTTAAGTCCCAGAGTTCGATTTTATGGAGTTTTGGAGATCATTTTTTGATTCGCGGAAAGAATCTAAGTCTGGGGGAATAGCTGTTCACAGCAAAGGAGGAAGGATTATGCAACAACATTTGGCAAGGAGAAGTGACTGAAAATTGCGGTCATCAACAGGTTCTTATCTCTCTTGCGGTTTTGCATATTATCTTGCATCCTCCAGATTCATTAGGCAACCCGAAACACTTTAACTCCACCACTTAAACAGCCTTTTAATGCCAAACGCCGTCTACCCTGGATGATATCTTTAATGAGAACTCACTATTGAACTTAATGAATGTAGAGAGCTAGTTGACTGGAATCAAGATTTAGATTGTTTAAGTTTTGCATAACGGAAAAAGTGGACTAGTATCTTTTGTGTATTGGTGAGAATTTTCTAGACTAAGTTGTGGATTGATGAACAATCTTTGATCCTAGTTTAGGAGTTCAAGTCTCTGAGATTTGTGCATTTCCTATTTTTGTTTTCACTTAACCAGTTTAGACTTTTGCTTTGTTTGAGGACAAACAAAGGTTTAAGTCTGGGGGAGTTGATAACACCGTATTTGGACACTTTTATGGATCGATTTGAAATACCTTTTCTATGTTTGTAATTGCTTTCAAGTACTTTTATTACGTTGTTCTAGTATTTGTAATTCTAAGACTCTTTTCAGGAAATTTAGGGAAAAGCTTAACAAAATGGATAGAAGACCAGATTTTTAGCTCAGAGTCAAACCATCAGAATTTCACCCGCGATTGAAGGCCTTCTCACCGTCTGATCCAGCTCAAATTTGGAGATCTCAAAGATGGAAGTATCAGCTTTCGAGCACACTTTACAACTTGACAACGGTTCAATCAAAAGATACGCGAAGAGCAAGATGTCCCGTAAACCAGCCGGCAAGCGTTTCCACCCGCGGCCAACAGGCCATTCCGCGCGGTCACAAGCATCCCGACCGCGGCCAGCCATCCATTCCCCGTCACGCACATCCCGACCGGGACCAGCTTACTCCGAGTTTGAAGACCTATTTCTGAAGCCCGTATCAATTTCCCAGCCTCAATTCCGGAACCCTAGACACCAGAGAGAATTAGATACTATAAATACATATCATTTAGGTCGTTTTTAAAGAGAGAAGAAGAGAGACGAAATACTTTACAGAAATTTTACTTTAAGCTTTGTTTTTAGGTTTTAGGGAGAGAGAGATCTATCTCTTGAACCCTTGTTCTCTTTTTCAATTTCGGTTTTTGTTCTACTTTTTAATACTATGTTTTTGATTTCTTTCATTATGTCTAAGTAGTTTTATTGTTTGGTCTAAGGGATTTTTGATGGGGATATATATGTTCGGTGAGGATTCCATGAGCTATTGAGCCGAATCTTAGAACTTTTTCTTTTGAATTCGTTTTGACTGCATGAGAGTAGCGTCATGAACTACAATCTGATCCAGATGCTTGGTGACACGAAAGTGTTCATCCGGTGTCAGATCTAGTTTGGGAGAGCAAAACAAACATAGGAGTGGAAACCTACCTATGGGCGATTTGTGAATGCTGACGAGTCTTAAACATAATGCACCTCTTCTTTTCGAGGGCCAGAGTGGAAACCTACTGGTCAGGGTTGAGAGAGAAAGTTGTCTATGATCACGACAGTGGCGTATTCATACGTCCGTGACTCCAGTTTGAAAAGTTTAAGCTAAGATCTTATCAAATTTACTCTCTAGCAATGTTTTGAATCGTTCATACCCCTGAGAAACTTCCCTGAACCCCAGCGCCTTTTTTCCATAGATTTACACCGATTTTTATTTAAGCTTTAGTCTAGTATCTTTACTCTTTCAATCGATTTTCATTTAAGCAATTACGTTTAGCCGTTTTTCCATTTTTACTCGTTTTCGTTAAGTTTAGTTATTAAGTCATTTTAATTACCGTATTTTCTCTTTAAGATTCGTTTTTAAGTTTTAAACACACCCCCAAAACCCTCACAAAACTCGCCTTGTTCTAGACTTCCTTACTTTATATTTCTTTCAAAGGCTTTTGCAGGAAAGATCCTCCTTCCCTGTGGATTCGATCCCTAAGTATTACAATCGACCAGCTGTGCACTTACGGCTATTGATTTCATTTAAGGTAAAACTTGACACCCTCATCGCGACACACCACATCAATAAGTTTCAGTCAGCACCTGTTCACCAGCAGCCACAGATGGGGTCAGATATGGTTGGGATTTGATAGGATCCTAGGTGTGAGGATCAAGCCCGGGAATGCTCCCCAATGGTTGTGACGAGTTGAGTGTGATATTTGATGATGTGCGGAATGAAATAGTGTAAGATGGATCCGTGAATAATGATGAAACTTGGTGGAAGTGCCTTGATACTTCTAAGAGATATGAAAGGTCTCTTAGACTATCAACATATTGATATGCCTGTAATGAAAGGATAAAGATCCGAATTTACTAAACAAGCTTGATCAAACAATTTAGAGAAAAAGTTTTAGAATAAAAGGTTTAATAAATGAAAGAAAGGAGAAAGAGTAATACATATAGAGTTTCCCACGCCTAGAAAATGACAAAGACAATTAATGACTAATTGAAACTCTAAACTCAAGTTTTAATTCAAATATTGGCTCCTCCTCTTCCTTGGACGAATTTGGTGAGTAAAATGGGTTGGGTTTCATCAAGAGGCCTCTTATTATAGTGTTGTGAACAAGCCTCATTAAAAACCTTGTTTGGAAAACCCAATGGGACAAAACCAAACGAAGGGAAAAATGCACAAGTCACAACACCTCTCTTGATGAACTCTTAAGTGGTTTGGATCACAATCAGTGTAGTTGGATTAGCACACTTAAGATTGCCCTGAATAGAGTGTAGTAGCTTGTGAAATGCTTGCTTGAATTTTATTGCCTTTGATCTTGTCATTGGGCCGGGAGGAAGGTATAAGTCATGATCTTCTTCTCCATTTACTTCCTCAGGTTCCAGCTGCTCCTTGTCTCCCTCTTTAGCTTCGGTAACCTCTGGTTCAAGCTCTCCCTCTTCTCGATTAGCTTCTTCAGTTCCAAGGCCGGCCATGATCATATTTTCCTCTCCCACTTGAAAAGGATTTGACCTCAAATCTGTATCTTCTGCAAGAAAAGGAACTAAATCAGAAACATTGAAGCTTGAACTCACAGAATACTTACCTTGAAGATTCAGCTGGTAGGCATTGTTATTGATTTTCTTGATGATCTTGAATGGCCCATCAATTCGTGGCATGAGCTTATACTTCCTTTCATTGGGAAATCTGTCTTTCCTTAGATAAATCCACACCATGTCTCCTTCTTCAAAGACCACTTCCTTTCTGCCTTTGTTGGCGTGCTTGGTATAGTATTTTGTCTTGTTGTCAATGTTGATACATGCCTTTTCATGGATCTGCTTTACAAGTTCTGCCTTTTTCTTTCCATCCAAACTAACTTTTTCACTCAAAGGTAAAGGCATTAGATCCAAAGGTGAGATGGGGTTGAACCCCTAAACAATCTCAAATGGGGAAAACTTAGATGCAGAATGCTTAGCATGATTATAAGCGAATTCTACATGTGGTAAACATTCTTCCCAAGTTTTAAGGTTCTTTTTAATCAATGCACGCAACAAAGTAGAAAAGGTCCTATTAACCACTTCAGTTTGACCATATGATTGCGGATGACATGTAGTAGAGAAAAGCAACTTAGTTCCTAACTTAGACCAGAGAGTTTTCCAAAAGAAACTAAGGAACTTAGCATCTCTATCAGAAACTATAGTTCTAGGCATGCCATGAAATATCACAATATCTCTAAAGAACAACTTAGCAACGTTCATAGCATCATCAGCTTTGTTACATGGAATGAAATGAGCCATCTTAGAGAATCTATCTACAACCACAAAAATAGAATATTTTCCTATCTTAGTCCTAGACAAACCAACAACAAAGTCCATAGAAATATCATGCCATGGATGCAAAGGAATAGGCAAAGGAGTATACAGACCGTGGGGTTGTTTCTTAGCCTTAGCTTGCTTGCAATAACACAACTTTCACATGCTTTTTCGATATCTTTCTTCATATGTGGCCAATAAAAGTGCTCTTGGACTGTACTCAGAGTTTTGGCAACGCTAAAATGACCCATTAGTCCACCTGCGTGAGCTTCTTTGACAAAGAGATCTCTAATAGAAGAGTTAGGCACACATAAACGACTTTCATAGAATAGAAAGTCATCAACCCTATAGTATTTTCCACTTCCAAACTTCTCACACGAAGCGTATATATCTTTAAAGTCAGCATCAGTAGGATAGAGACTCTTGATATGTTCGAAACCGAGTAGCTTAGTCTCTAGAGAGTTCAAGAGAACATACCTGCGAGATAATGCATCTGCAACAACATTATCTTTACCTTTCTTGTATTTGACGACATATGGAAAAGTTTCAATGAGCATGTCTTTTGTTTAGCTTATGTTGAGCCTTGAGGTATTTGAGAGACTTGTGATCAGTGTGAATGGCAAACTCCTTAGGCCAGAGATAATGTTGCCATGTTTGGAGAGCTCTCACAAGCGCATAAAGCTCCTTGTCATATGTAGGATAATTCAATGTAGCTCCTCCAAGTTTCTCACTAAAGAATGCAATAGGCCTTTTCTCCTGCATACGAACAGCACCAATACCAATTCCTGAGGCATCACATTCTATTTCAAAAGTTTTACTAAAGTCAGGGAGAGATAGCACCGAGAATGAGTGAGTTTGTCCTTTAAAGTTTGAAAGACTTCTTCCTGAGCTTGCTCCCATTTAAATCCCACGTTTTTCTTGATAATCTCGGTGAGTGGGGCTGCTAAAGTGCTAAAGTCTTTGACAAACTCCTATAGAACCCCGCAAGTCCATGAAAACTTCTCACTTCTCCAACAGATTTTAGACTTGGCCAATCTTTGATGGCTTTAACCTTTTCCTCGTCAACCTTGATTCCATCTGCACTCACAACAAATCCTAAAAAGACAAGATTATCTGTTCCAAAAGTGCATTTCTTTAGATTAGCATACAAGGTTTCCTTCCTAAGCACTTCTAAGACCTTCCTAAGATGTTCTACATGCTCTTCTAAACTTTTGCTGTAAATCAAGATATCATCAAAGTATACCACAACAAAATGACCTATATAAGCCCTAAGAACATGGTTCATTAGCCTCATAAACGTGTTAGAGGCATTGATTAATCCAAAAGGCATGACTAACCATTCATATAACCCTTGTTTAGTCTTAAAAACAGTTTTCCATTCATCACCCTCTTTCATTCTAATCTGATGATATCCACTTTAAGATCTACCTTAGAAAAGACGCTAGAGCCATGCAACTCATCAAGCATATCATCTAATCTAGGTATAGGATGTCGATACTTTACCGTGATATTGTTGATGGCTCTGCAATCTACACACATTCTCCAACTACCATCTTTCTTTGGCACAAGCAAGACCGGTACTGCGCATGGGTTCATACTCTCACGGCTATGTCCTTTTTCCATGAGCTCAGTAACTTGCCTCTGAAGTTATTTGGTCTCCACAGGATTGGTCCTATAAGCCGGCTTGTTTGGGAGAGAAGCTCTGTTGGGGTCGGTTTCCACTCCAAGCGGATAAACCATCCCGAGGATGATCAAGTATCAGAGAAAACCGGTTGGCAGGAGAACTCAATTGTGGGCCGAGCTCTCACATGAGAAAGGTGGGCCGAGCCGTGCTCGACATTACAAACGGGCCGAGCCGTGAAGAGGAACAAGTAGGCCGAGCTGCGGGAAGGATGTTCAGTGGGCCGAGCTGTGAAAGGGAGCGAACGGGCCGAGCTGTGCAAGAAAGCGAGTGGGCCGAGCTGCATAAGAAGGAGAATGGGCCGAACCACTTCCTTCCACAATTGGGCCGAGCCAAGGCCTTGAGAGACGAAGCCCATAGAAACCCTAGGCGAAATATGAAGGCGGTGAGCCGCACGAGGCGATAAGGAAATATTCCGAAAATCTCTCCCGAGATTCTCGGCTATGCGGTTCAGAGAATTAGTATAAATAGACGATGTATACAATTCATTCTGTAACTTTTCGTAACCCTAAGCAATAAGATCTGAACACTTTCACAGCAATTAAAACTCTCTTTTGATCTTACCGTTCTTGCGATTACCCTAGAAATTTCGGTTCCCTTAGTTTTTCCTTACAAATTTTTGGTTGTGCGAGTTTTGGCTCACACAATTTGGCGCCGTCTGTGGGGACTCAAAACTTTCTTACTCTAAATCGACAAGACTTTAAGATCCGAAGAACATGGCAAGCAACACCCTTGACGATAACAACAACAACAATAACGGCACGGAGAAGGACGCTCCAGCATCAGGCACAACGACGGCAACGACCGAAACCCAAGAGGAGATGTGAAACATGATGACCGCGTTGATGAAGAAAATCGACGAGCAGGACAAAAGAAACGAGTCGATTACGGAGAGGCTCAACGCGATGGCGGCTGAGCGACAACACCCAACTTGGAGAGCCAGAATTCCCGACCCGATGGATGGAATCCGGAGACGCTTCGATTTCTCAACGCCTGCAGAGGCCTCGGGGAGCGGCGCGAGAAACCCCTTGGCTCCACCAATGTTTCGTCCCCTCGGAGAACAGACCCCCGCGGCAACCCGAGTCAACATGACCGAGCCGCCTCCACTCCGTCGGAACCCAAGGCGACAAGCCGGCGAAGAGGAGAATGACGCGATTGATGTGGACGCCCAGCAGAACGATGGAACCACAAACTCGCAACAGAACGGCTCGGCTCAGCGAATAAGCCAAGAAGAGCTCGCCTCAGCACTAAACGGCACCCGACGACAACCTGACGAGTGTCGCGAAGACGAGCCAAGGAGAGAAGTGCGGGAGCGACTTCCCCAATCAAAGGGAATGACTCACGCGCAAACCCTTGAAATCAAAGAGCTGCGAGCCTCAATGGCTCGGACAGTAGCCGAGATACGCGCCATGAAGTCTCAAGTGCACAACGCGACGAGTGCCGCGCCCGAGATCGATCGGATGCTTGAAGAAACTCAGAGAACACCATTCACGGCAATAATCACGGAGGCTAGGATTCCCGAGCCCGGGAAGGTGAGAATCCCGTTCTATAAAGGAACAACCGATCCGAAAGCACACATCACAGCGTTTCGGATAGCGATGGGACGAGGTTTCACAAAGAACGCTGCCAAACTGACCGAGCGGGATGTGGATGCCGGATATTGCTTGCTATTCGTGGAACATCTCAAGGGAGCCGCGCTTGAGTGGTTTTCGAGGCAGGAGCGCAATTCAATCGGCAGTTTCCAACAGTTCTCCGCCTTGTTCCGTAAACAATACTCGATGTTTATGAATAGAGGAACCTCTGATGCCGACCTGTGGACGCTATCCCAAGGACCGAACGAACCGCTTCGAGATTACATGGCAAGGTTCAAGGCGGTCGTATCCAAAATAGAAGGAATAAGCGACAAGGCTGCACTCGAAGCTCTGAAACGGTCTTTGTGGTACAAATCAGAATTCCGACGGGAAATGGCACTCAACACACCACAAACGATTCAAGATGCCTTGCATCGGTCATCAGACTTTGTCGTAAACGAGGAAGAGATGAAGAATCTGGACGAGCAGTATGAAGCAACGAAAGCAGCAATCCAAAGCTCGATTTTGACGCGCCCTTCGAAGAAAGGCAATCCATCAAACAACACAACAACGCAGAGCTCGGACAAACCTAGAAGCGGAGGTGCCCACAACTACCAAGTAGGCACTGGACGCGGAAGAGGAGAGCCGCGCAACAACACGTGGGTAAGCAAGCCCACCAACTATGACGAAAAGGCATTCTGCGAGTATCACCAGACCTACGGGCATTCAACGGCACAATGCCGAACACTAGGAGCAAAAATCGCAGCGAAAATGGCGGCGGGAGAGCTCCAGAATGCGGTTAACCTCAAAAACCTCGTCCGTAATGAACCAAAAGAAGGGGTCGAGCTGAGCGGTGCGGCAGAACCAGCAAATCCTCCCCGACGGGGCGATAACACCAAGCGCGATAGGAGAGGCGAACCCGAAGAGCGACCCGAGCCGAGGCAAAGGATCAACATGATCATGGCTGGATCTCAATATTACCAAGACACGGTGTCCTCCATCAAAGCATATCAGCGCCGAGCCGAAGCAAAGGAGAATTGGACAGAACCGACCGATATCCCGAATACAGTGATCTCCTTCACCGAGGAGGAAACAGCAGGAATCGATAGACCTCACAACGATCCGCTGGTGATCGAATTAAAGATCAGGGATCACGATGTAGTAAGGGTGCTCATCGATACTGGGAGCTCGGTGAACGTCATTTTCAGGGAGACACTCAGAAGGATGGGAATCGATCTCTCTGAGGTGATAGCGATCCCCAAACCTCTGACCGGATTTTCAGGAGAAACAATGAAGACTATGAGAACAATTGGTCTCCCTGTGGTAGCTGGCGGAGTCACTAGGATCGTCTAATTCTGCGTCATCGATCACCCAGCAATCTACAATGTGATTATGGGAACTCCATGGATCAACGCGATGAGGGCGGTCCCTTCTACCTATCACCTCTGCCTCAAATTCCCAACTCCAGCAGGTATCAAAACGATATGGGGGAATCAGAAGGAGTCACGAATGTGCTTCCTAGCGGAGCACAAGCTGAGGAACCCCGTCACCGACGCACGAGCAGACATAGATCGCAAAAAGATGAAGACGGACCGAGATTGTGCTCTCGAAATTCTTATAGCAATTACAGATCGCGGAGAGCCACGAAACGTGCGCCGAGCCGGTATGTGATGCGGTGGACTTGGTGTGCATAGACAAAGCGCGTCTGGAACGATGCGTCAAAATCGGAGCAAAACTAGAAAAACCTCTGAGAAGCAAACTTCAAGAACGCAGGAGCAACATATCAACGGCTCGTCAATAAAATGTTCGCTGCTCAGCTCGGAAAAACCATGGAGGTATACATCGATGATATGTTAGTCAAATCACTCGAAAAGAAAGACCACGTCACGCATCTACAAGAATGCTTCGAGCAGTTGAACAAACACAACATGAAGCTAAACCCGGCGAAGTGTACGTTCGCGGTCACCTCGGGAGAGTTTCTCGGCTATCTGATAACTCACCGAGGCATTGAAGCGAATCCCAAACAGATCAAGGCATTAATCGAGATGCCCTCTTCAAGGACGATGCGAGAAGTGCAAAGGCTTACAGGAAGGGTTGCTGCGCTAAACAGGTTTATTTCCCGTTCCACCGACAAGTGCCTGCCTTTCTACGACACCCTTCGGGGAAACAAGAAATTCGAGTGGGACGAGCGATGCGAAGCAGCTTTCCAAGAATTGAAGAATTATCTGGCGAGCCCACCGATCTTTGCAAAACCAGTTGAAGGAGAGCCTCTCTTCCTCTACATCGCCGTATCTGCTACAGATGTGAGTGGGGTGTTTATCAGAGAAGAACGGTGTGAACAGCTATTTCTCTTTGTCTTCTTATTTGGCTTCTTGTGATCATAAACCTGAAAACAAAGACAGAACTTGAAAGGTGATCAGTAAAACAAAAGAAACTTGATCTCAAAAACTATATCAGAAACTAATGCTAACAATCCCCACACAATATGGCAACGGCGCCAATTGATAACTAAGAATTTTTCATGTCTTAGATGGGTTATCAATCCCCTTGTCAAAGTAGTATAAGGGGTGTCAATCCATATGTGTGGTAGTTAGGCACTAGTTTATAAGACAAGTTCTTAAGTCAAGTGAAACAAGAAAGATTTGGTGACAAGTAACAAGTGAAAATATAAACAAGGAACAAACAAGCAATGATTAATGAACTAAACAAAGCAAGCAAGCTAAACAAGAATGTGGTGATTAAGCAAATGATAAAAGATAAACCTCTAGATGTGATCATTGATTAGGGTGCTGTAGATATCAATTCATGATGCCAAGAACAATAATGCAATGCAAGTTACTCTTTAGTCTAGACTTCAAAAGCAGATTAATTCATTCCCATGACAATAATCCCTTTGCTAATCACTTAATCAAGTCTAACAACCATCAGATATAATCAAGCAATCAACAAGCATAATGCATCAAGCCTAATAAGTGACCAAACAATCTCTCAGCCAAGAAGACTGAATCTTACACAGAAAGACATAGCAAACAATCACATGATCTCAAAAATTTCAACTTAGAACTCTAATCTAGACTAATCCTCTCATGAAGGCATTAATCTCTACACTAATCCACTTTCAAACCAAATTCCCATTTGTGAAATATGAATTAATGAGCATTAAGAAACAGTTCTAATATGTCATTTATGCAATTAACAAACATTCCCATGGCATTAATGCATAAACCTTTAGTTAGCTTTCATTCAAGCATTTCATCAAACACCTTGTGGGTGGAGATTTGCCTAAGCTCTAGACCAGAGTGATGTGCAAAGATCTAGCATTAGGAACAGCTAACTAAGGAAAGGAAATGAGAATCTAGTCCCTAAACATCATAAATCAAACATCTAAGCACCCTAATCTACACACCTAGAAGCTTAAAAGATGACTACTCAGTAATCATGAAGAACACATCTAATCTTTTGCAAGATATGATGCTAATCATGATTAAAAGTAGAAATGAGATGATGAGATGATAAGAAAACGATTTGGAATGATCAAATCACTTCAGATATCTCTTAATCAAAAACGTTTTTACACTAAAAAGGAAAGAAAATTAGAGAAAAAATAAGATAGAAGATGATCTTAGGGTTTTCTCCAAAAAGCTATATATACTAAGTGCTAATAGACCGGGTCAGCCCAAGAAAAACTGGATCCTGACCCGGCCTTGATGGATAGTAGTGTGGTTTGCCACGCTCAGATGATGCTTGGCCAGACCGTGGCAACCTGATAGTGTCAAAGTTCTTGGACAGATTCTTCATGATCAAGGTTGCCATGGCTTGATTTACACCATGTCTAGTGGCCGTGTCTCTTCTTTTCTGGGTTTGGGTGATGAACTTCTTGGATTGCCACGTTCTTGATATGGACCGTGTCATGTTGGGCGTGGCAAGATGTTGATGATTCGGTGATTGCCACGGTCAGGTTCAAGGCCGTGTCAAGCTCTTTTGACTCTTTTAGCAAACCTTGCAGGTTGCCACGGCTAAGTGCATGGCCGTGGCATGGTAACCATGTCAAATCCCGAGAGTTTTCATATTATTCCACGGCCAAGCTCAGGCCGTGGCATTATCACCGTGTCAAATTATGACACTTAGCACCTTATCCACTCTTAGACGTCTGGCTGATATGTATGTCTCTCGCCTTCTTTAACTCTTATCTCACAACTCCAAATCCAATGATACGACCTGTTCTGAGACCGTGACTCTATCATCTCCAACTTTGATGAAGGGTTCGGGTTCAGATGACGTTGGCAAGGGCTCCGTTCCACCGGTTCTTTGATGCGCGTTGCTTTGGTCCTTTATCCGCTCCGAGACATGTACTGCTTCTTATCGCCGTAACTTTCAGCTCAAAACTCCAAATAGGACGATCTAAAGTGTTCTGGAAACTAGACTCAAGGCTCTTGATTCTTTCTCAACACTCCGGATGCTGAATCCTGGTGAACGGCCTCCTTCTCAGGTGATAAAGTTGAGGGATCGTCGGCTCCATAACACTTGTCCGAGTCTGATGCAGATAAGGTGATGGTCTCTCCATAGCTTTTGTCCCAATTGCTCCCAATTAGCTCCAAATGACCTGTAAACACTCTAAAAGTGCAAAAGCCTCTAGGACCTAATGCAATTCCTAACTAAAGACAAAAGCAAAGACAAATATATGTAAAACTACCTAAATGTATGCATGAGACTCAATATTTGGACAAAAATGCAATCCTAAACATGACAAAATGTGAGTATATCAACGGTCCGAGCAAAAACCCATTTTTTACGTCAGCCAGACACTGACTGACGCCGAGACCCGCTATCCCCTGATCGACAAGGTAGGCCTAGCCGTCGTAGTCTCGGCTCGCAAACTGCGTCCGTATTTTCAATCACATTCGATTGTTGTGCTCGCTACACTTCCGCTGCGCTCGATCCTACACAGCCCAAGCCAATCCGGTCGGCTCGCCAAGTGGGCCATAGAGTTGAGCGAGTACGACATCGAGTATCGGAACAGGTCGTCTGCAAAGTCACAGGTGCTCGCAGATTTTCTCATCAAACTTCCAGCCGGAGCGACAAACAAACCGACCCCAGTCGAAGAATGGATGCTGCACGTCGGCGGCTCATCATCTAAACACGACTCAGGAATAGCAATCCGCCTCACCTCTCCCACATGAGAGATATTGGAGCAGTCTTTTCGCCAAAAATTCCACGCCTTGAACAACGAAGCAGAATACGAAGCAATGATCGCCGGCATACGACTAGCGCAGGGAATCGGAGTTCGAAAGATAAGAACCTTTTGCGATTCACAGCTCGTAGCATGTCAATTCAACGGACAATATGAGGCGAAGGATGGACGAATGGGAGCTTACCTCAAGGTGGTCCGAGAGTTGGTGCAAAAGTTCGACGAGTTCGAGCTCACACGAATACCCCGAGGAGAAAACACCTTGGCTGACGGCTTGGCAGCACTTGCTTCGACCTCAGACCCGGATCTCCGATGGACGTTTCCAGTTAAATTCATCGAACGTCCTAGCATCGAAGAGGTAGAAGGAGTTCGGCTGATAAATCCTCCCGAACAAGAACCAGAGAACGACGAAGCCATCGCTATGGACGAGGACGCCTCACCAGCCGAGCCGGAGTACGGCTGCGACAAAGAATGGCTCGGAGCCATCCGAGTATATATCACCGATGAAGAAGTGCCGACCGACAAGTGGGAAGCCTGCAAATTAAAAGCTCAGGCTGCGCGGTATGTCCTCGTTGACGGCGAGGTGTTTAAATGGAGATTTTCAGGACCTCTCATGACATGCGTCGAAGGACCGGAGGCAAGAAAGATCATGCACAAAGTGCACAGCGGCGCGTGCGGAAACCATTTTAGCGAAAGGTCGCTCGCGATCAAGATAAAACAGCACGGTTACTTCTGGTCTACGATGGTCAAGGACTGCAAGAAATTTACGGCGAAGTGCGAGAAGTGTCAACGGCACGCGCCAACAATTCATCAACCTACCGAGCTGCTGTCATTAATCTCGTCACCTTATCCTTTCATGAGATGGTCGATGGACATAGTCGGACCTCTACATTGATCGAAGCAGAAGCGCTTGCTGCTCGTCCTCACGGATTATTTTTCCATGTGGGTCGAGGCCGATTCCTACGCAAGTATAAAGGATGTTCAAGTCGAACACTTCGTCTGGAAAAATATCATTTGCAGACACGGGGTCCCCTACGAGATAGTCACCGATAACGGATCCCAGTTCATCTCGACGCGCTTTGAAGCTTTTTGCGAGAAATGGAAAATCCGTCTGAGCAAATCTACGCCAAGATACCCTCAAGGGAACGGACAAGCCGAAGCAGCC